GGCTTGGACTCAGCACCCCCGTTGGGCTTGGGCTGGGCTGAGGCCCTATAGCAGGGTTTGACTCAGTGCCCCCCCTTGGACTGGGCTGAGGCTGCCCTTGCTTCTTCAGCTTTGGCAGGGCTTGGACTCGGCATGCCCCTTGGCCTTGGTTTGGGCTTAGGCTGCCCTCACCCCTCAGGCTTCAGCAGGGCTTGAATACTGCACCCCCCCCTTGGGCTTAGGATTGGTCTAGGCCCCTGTTGCCCCATGGGCTTCAGTAGGGCTTGGACTTGGCATGCATTTTGGGTTCGGCAGAGCTTGGACTCAGCGCCCCCCCTTGGCCTGGCCTGCATTGTCTGCAGCCAGAAGGATGGACCAGAGCCCCATAACCCTGTTCTTGGCCTGTCCTGCAGCATGAGAGCAGAGGACTCCAGACCTCATGGAGGACCCAGAGCCTGAGTTGCTGCCCTGGGGGGCAGAGACACCTGACCCCACTCGGTCCTCAGCTCTTCCACATCAGAGCCGTCATTCTGAGCAGCCAAAGCTCCACAGACCACTCCTGGTGAAGTCAGGGTTTCTCCAGGGAGAAAACCACCATGCTTTGAGTGTCCCCTGCTTTGGGTGGCCATGTCACACCCAAGGGCCAAATGCAGTTAACACATTTTCCCAGCACTCACCTGAGCGCATGACAGCAGTGTCGTTCTCATGGAAGCATGGAGAGGCCCACAGGGCAGTCACTGGACACTGTCCCAGGTGGGCTTCAGTCCCAACACAGTGGAATGACTCTCTCCAACAGGACCAGTTCCTCTCCAAAAACGCCCTCCGCTGGGAGTGGATTCAGCAAAACCACAGTCAAGATGATGACACAGAACGTGGGCATCCAGAAGGTCCCAATGGGAGGCAGAGAGGGTGCCTCAGCTCCCCATCACCTGGACCTCCACCTTCCCCTCACACGCTGTGCTGCCGTTCACCACCACAACCCTGTGTACTCTGAGGACAGAGAAAGATGAGAGAGGGTGCGTTGGTGCCCTTGCACCCTCCACAGCTGGAGGAGACGCCAGAGGGACAACCTTCCTTTCTCCTCCTTATGCAGCCTTTTGGGAGTGCAGAAAAGCACAACACTCCTCCTCTCTTCACACCTAGCAGAGCACCTGCTCCCTGGCTCTAGCTCACATGAATTGTTCAACGTTCCACCCTGAGTCCTTATGTGTGCAGATGACACCGGCATCGCTTGCGTGGGTGCAGGGCTGGTCCCTAGGGGATCCCATGGGGCAGGAGACAAGAAGAGATTCATTCCCCTCACACTGCAGTTCTGTCCCAGATGGGACCATCCCATTCTCCAAAGTGGGCTGCCTTGGAGATGGACAGATTGCGTCACACTGCAACTCCTGGCAGACTACATCAGCCGCTTTGAGATCAAAGTCTGAGTCACACACAGTTTTCCACTGGTCCTCATCGTGGATCTCCATGTGTCCTGAGCAAGGGCATTCCCCTCTGACCAGCTGGATAAATCCTGCAGCAACCAAAAGCTCCTGTGAGGTCCCAGAGCCCTCTGGCAGTTACATGCCTATATCCCACCTGGACTGCAAGGTCACCATGACCCTCCCAGCAGTTTCCAGTGGGTGCTGATGGCACAAACACACCAGAGACACCCTGTCATTCCTCAGACATCAGCACAACACTTGTGGGTTTGCTTTTCCCCCAAACCTCAGTGACAGGCACTGCTCAGACAAACTGCTGCCATCCTGCTAACCCTGGGCTGCCTGGCCCTAGCCCCAAGACATTTGAGCACTCAGAGCACTTGGGGCCCAGGGAGACTGCCCAAGGCCCTCCTGGCTGCTGCAGCCGTGTCTGTCAGCTGAGCTCAAGGCCAATTTGGGAACCCCTTGGAACCTCCAGAAACACACCCTGGTCTCATGCTGTTGGGACAGTGCTGCTAGGTGGGTCTTGTCACAGGGTACAGGTACAGTACAGCTGTCTCTGTAGAAGAGGTCCTCAGCCAGGCCAGAGTGCACTGCCAGGAACACAAATCCCATCTGTGGCAGGGTAGTGGTTGGACAGGGGGCAGAGGAGCAGCCCTGGGCTCACATGAGCTCCCAGTGCAAGGGCAGGTGCAAAGGAGAACACAAGTGTCGTCAAAGTGGCACAGAGCAGCCAGGGGCTGGGTAAACAGGAGAGGATGGGCAGGGGTATGCACTGACTGCAAGGTACCTTGCCCATGTGGGCTGGCTCTCACAGGATCACCCTAGGAGAGGAATAGGGTGTTGTGTGCCCCCCTGCTCCTCTGTCCAAGGCCAGCACTTTTCCCTTTTTGACCAGCCCCTTTCCTTTGGCTGAGGGACTTGCCTCTGCCAGGAGGTACAAGACAAATGTTGCTAGCCACTCTGCGCTCTTCCATGGTGTTGTGGGTGGCTGCATGAGCCTTGGTGCCTCCAGCACAGGTGGACCTGACCCTCAGCAATGCCAGACAAGTTCTGCCTGAATGGGAGGAGAAAGATGGGAACCAACAGACACCACAGGACTGAGAGGGGGATTCATGTCCCAGTTCTAGGCACCCACTGACAGTGGGCTGAGCCACCTTGGGGCCCAGCTCATGGTGAACACCTGGGGTGGACTCCAAGTGATCTTTCCTTAGGCATCAGGGACACCAACAATGACAGTCCCAGCTCATCAATGCAACAAGCCACAGTAGACCATGCTCCAGTGTCTGCTCACTGCTCCCTGGTGGCACAGTCAGGTCCTTTCCCCTGTCCTGACCCCAAAGGTGGGGAACAGGCTGGTTCCTTACCTGAACATGTCACTCCAGCATCCTCATAGTGATCACAGTCGTGTTGACCCCATCCATCGTGTCTGCAGAGAGCCTAGACTCGGTGTCACGACAACCAACTTCATCCATCCAAATGGGTCCAGATCTAGTCCCAGAGTGTCCATACTTAGGAGCTTCAACAGCAGACCCACAGCCCAGCTGCTTACAAACCACTGCAGCAACGAGCATGTCCCGGGAGTCACTACACATGGTCCTCCACTGGTCCTGGTGTTTCACCTCCACTCTCCCAGTACAGCACCCACCGCCATTCTCCAGCCTCACATCTGCAGCCCCTTCAAACAATAACATGGGAGCAGTCAGGAACGCACTGAGCCCCAGACTGCAGGCCTGGAGTTGCTCCCTGTCCAGTCTGAGTCACAGGAACCAGGGTGAACCTCTCCTCTCCAGGCTATTCTTGGGACTGTGTGGGTGTCCCTCCAATCTCCATGGGATGTGTAGTCAGGGAATGCTAACTGATGACCTGCTGGGCCATTTGTTGCCCCACAGCCCTAGGTGCCTCCCCCCACCCAAACAGCCCCCTGCCCAAGCTCGCGGACATACCTTGTCCCTAAGCCCTGCACAGTGAACCCACTCCTCCCCAGCCCAGCACCCCTGAACAGCTTCATGTCTGCAGGACTGCAACTGGCCCTGTCCACCACCTGCACCACCACCACACAACCTACCACCAACCCAGAGCTTTCCATGTCCCAAGGGAGTAATGACACAGTTCTGAGCATCCCCTAACCCATATCCCCTTCTTGCCACTGGCATCAGTTGTGAAGCCCCAGGAAGGACATCCCTCTCCTATCTCCATGTGCAGACACCCTGGTCCTTTCTCTCTGTGGGGCACAAATACCCCTCCTGGAGTTAGGGTCCCCCAGAACCTGAGGACAGTAAGCAGCACACAGACCCTCTGGGGTACCTCAGCGATGTCCTGTGCCCTGGAGATTGCTCAGTGTCACTGTACCCAACTGGGTCACCGCTGAATCCAGATGCACAGCACAGACGAACAGGAGATCCCAAAAGGGTACCCTAGGATGGGATGTCTAGAAATGCAGCCAGGAATGGGCTGCCTTCAGTTCTGGAGCCCTGGAATTCAGGATACCTTCCCCCACCCAGATGGGCACAGGGAAAGGCACAGGTTCCATGGACTTGAACACCTTCTGCTCCTCATCTCAGCAGCACCTGCAAAGAAATCCCATTCCCAGAGGTGTCTTGATGACCCCACTGGTGCCCGCTGATCCTATCCATGGGACAAGGGAACTGACACTTACCCCTGCACAGCTGCACGCAGAGCACCAGCCACAGCACTCGAGGAGACAGGAGTCCCTCTGTCCCCATCCTGAGCTTCCTGCCCTGCTGGCATAGCCCTGCTGAGGTTCACTCCCTGTCACAGCTCCTGGGGACTCACAAGAACAACAATGATGATAGGTTAATATATCTCTAGAGTTGTCGGCCAAGCTGCAGGAGGAGCCAATCAAAGCGGCATCACCTTTTTCAACATTAT